CAATTGCAAGGCCTCCTTGCAGTAAAATGCGGCCCGCATAAAGGGCTTGCCGATGGGAGAAAGCTGGTGATTGAGCCGCGCCAATATCCCCTGCGCGTGAACTGGGTTTCCGATTTGGACCAGCTCAGCTGCTTTGTAAATCTGGTCCACCACGGTCTGCTGAAGCTGGTGGCAGTCATCGGGCTTAGGCCTTGGGCCTGGGCCCACAGCCAGCCCGGTGGGCCGATGGTGGAGGTAAGGGGGGAGGAACTGGAGCTGGTGGGGGTGAAGGTTTTCTCTTGCCATCAAGAATTCTGGGGGCTGCCCGGTGTCGGTGAACGGGCCCTTTGGGGTCAACCCGCCGGGCTGAAACCCTACGTCGATAGTCTCGCCGGGGTTGTGACGCTTGGGCTGTGGCGGGCCGAAGAGGTTCGGGCCCTGGTGCTGGGGGAGGGAGAGGGGGAGGAAAAGGGAAGGGTTTTGAGTGTTTTGGGCTTGGTGATGGTTGATTAGTAGCTGGGGATTGAAAATGGGAGGCTTAATTTCAGGTGATGAATCGAAAGCTATGGGGCTGAGGTTGGGGTTGAAGGGTGGAGATGGGTTTTGTGTAATATTCTGAGAGAATTTGAAATTAGTGGGCGGATTTGAAGATAAGGAATTGTTGGAGGCCCAACTGAAGCTGTTACCCTTTTCAGATCTGCTGTTGGTGGGGAAGTTTGGGACAGCCGGCAGGAAGCATTCCCCGGAGCCGAAACCCTGATCCACACTCGCCGAGAAGCCGCCGCCGAAATCGAGCTCCGGCGTTGTTGAGCCGCCGCCGCCGTCGCCGATGTGGAGGCCCCGGCTCAGGCCTCCCATGGAGGAGGGGTCCTCAGGGTCGCCCATGATCCACCGGAAAAGGGAGTGTTCACCGCCGGGGGAGACGGCCACCGACTCCGACAGAACGCCCTCCCAGTCCTCCATGGCGAACTTCTCCGTGTTCCCGCCTGCGGCGCAGATATCGAGGGAAGGGGGGACTGGGAGGAGGTCTGGGTCAGCCCCGCCTCCGCCGCTGGTGGCAGTCGTGGAGTCGTGCTGCTGCCATTTGGGAGAGGGACCCGCGTCCGAGACCGCCGCCACGCCGGCCGTATCCGCCGAAGCAGCACCCCCGCCGCCGCCGCCTAGGGAAGAAGACGGTGTTGAGGAAGACGCGGGCCGGCTGGGAATTCTTGCAGAATCCAGGACAGAGGTGGGCTCAACAAAGCTGTAACTGTTCCGATTGAAGAAGCAATTTTTCTGAAAAAGGTAATCAGATGAGATTTGAGGGGCGAAATCTGAAACAAATTTCTTGTTGTGAACAAACAGCTGCTCCAACTCTAACACCCCCTTCCCCTCAAAACCATAGGGCAAGGGCAAGGGCATCCCCTTCATCTAACCCCCAATATATCCCCCAAATTTTCACCAATTTTTCCCCAAATCCTCACAAAAAAGAGGAAAACCCACCAAAGCAAAAACCCAAATTATGAATAAATGCAGTCTAATCCACCAAATTACATCACTTTCCTCAAAGAGAAAAGAAAATCCCAAAAAAAAAAAAAAAGAGAAAAAATAGAAAACCCACCAAAGCAAAAAAAGACTAGATTATGAAGGAATGCAGGCTAATCAAATGATATATACAAGCATATACATACAGATATGTATATACTCAAGAAAAAGACTGGATTTTTCTGGAGAAAAAGGGAGAGAGAAAATTTGCTACTGATCTGTGAAGGAGGACGAACAAACAAACAAAGAAACAAACAAACAAGAGACTGCTTGAAGGTTCAAAAATGGAGTCTTGTTATTGTAAGAAGTGATTATAATCTCGTCTGATTCTTGAAGAAGGGGTGGTACAGGTACTGTGTCTGCCTTATGTTTTCTGCCATGGATGCGTGCAACATAAAAAAGTAGTAAAGTTGCCCCCTTTCATTCATCCTCTCTCTCTCTCTCTCTCTCTCTCTCTCTTTCTTTCTTCTAGCTCGTCTCTACTGTTTTTTTATTTTATTATATTTATTTAATTTATTTATTATTTATTATGTGGCCTTGTCCAGAGTACAGTTATCTTTCCTGCAAGGGTTTTCTTTCGTTTTTTCAGACGGTCACGCGCGAGAGAGGTGCGTGTTTCCAACGCTGGTGGTGAAATGGTAAATTCACTTGTTGGTGTGGATAATTTTGGTGTGTGCCACAGCCTATATTATATGGGAGAATGTGTCGTTTGAATTTTGTCTAATAGTTGTGATGTCTAATACAAAGGCGTAGGTGTTTTATGAACTTTTATTAGAAGGATAATAAAAATATAATAGAAAAAATTGATATATAAATATTTAGATAATAATCAAAAAAAATGATTTTTAGTTGTAGATATATTATTTAAAAAATATATTATTTTATTTGAAAATAGTAGTGATAATAATTAAATATAACTAGGTTCATTATGTATATTTGCATTGAGTTTTGGGTAGTTATTCAATTGTTACGGGTGTTTGTCAGTTATAATTTCGACAAATGTGTATACTTTTAAACCGACGTCATATAATATAATAAAACATATCAAATGTATGACATGCGTATTCTCTATTTAAATGATGAGAGTGCGTATTCTCTATTTAAATGATGAGAGCCGCTTAGGGGGCGACGGGATATAAATGAAAACCTAGGCATGGTTGACGAGGCCATGGTTGGTGAAATTGGTTCATGTCTATTGTGAATCTAATTTTGTTGCCGATTGCATAGTCGGCGTTGTCGCACGAAGCCTGGGGGTTTTCACCTATTAGATGAGCCGCTGGTTGAAGTTCGACAAGGCTACATCATGATGTTACCGGGGTCTCTTATCCACGAAGTGTTCTAATCTCTAGTATCTAGGTATTTGCCTCTCTTCTCTGTATCTAAAAAAAAACTACTTTGATAGAATTTTGAGTCAAAGTGAGTTAATTTTAAACAAAAGTTGATTGAACAGAGAATTGAGTGAGATTTTGAATTTGTTTTCAAATAACATTTAAAATATAATGATTAAAGTTGACATGGTGTAAAAGTATCAGAAATTCTATGGCACCACATGTGACACCATATTATGATGCCACAACATGATGTGGCACATTATGATTGGTGCCACAACTAGCACACATCATGTGTGGCACCAATCATAATGTGCCACATCATGTTGTGGCACTATAATATGGTGCCACATGTGGTGCCATAGAATTTCTGGTAAAAGTATATATGTGATAAATTATTAGAAATGATAACTAGTTAAAAATATGTGAGTAGATTAATAATGGATTAAAGTTTATGTGATGCCTGAAAATGATTAATTGATCTTATTTAATTATATTAATACTATTATAAATAATTAGAATTGAATTTTGAGTTAAATAGTGTAAAAAATTGTCCCATCACTCAAAATCGATTTTAAATTTGTAGTCAAATGGCCCATAAATGTTGAAGTTGGAATTGGCTTATGAATCATTTAAATTAAAATTAGCCAGCTTAGTTGGGCTTTTTTATTAGCTAGACCTAAAAATCAAGTGCACAAGCCCAGTGTAGCTAAAAATGTGAAAAGGGAACAACTAGTAAACATACATCATTCATTGACAGTAGATTTATGAACCGAATTTTCCATCCTTAATCAACATAAAAGACATGAGTAAATGAAATTTAAAAGTTTTCATACAAAAATTAAATAAGCTTATATTTAAATAATAACAATAAAAAAAAAAAACTCCACAATTAACTGCTATTTCTATTGGTTTTTTAGAGGGTTCTGCTGAATGGTTGTGTTTATTAAATATCGGTTAATTTGAGGATTTGTGGTTTTTCTTTTTAACCCTTTTTTGAGTTTTACTGATTAAGTGTCCTTTTCTGTTGGCAGAGGTGAGAAAGATTAAAAAAAATAAAAAGTAAAAGTTGGTAATAGAGATTGATAAGGAAAAAGAAGAAAAAAAAAAAAGTAGTAAGAGGTGAGGACTTTTTGGGGAGATGATACGATCTATTTACGGAACCATCCTGTCAGGGTTTCTAACCGTTATATTAACTATCCTCGATAGTTACATAATGATCTAATTGTTATAACTTCTGACGAAATAGTTCCGTAACGATACCGTAGCATTTCTGACGCTTGTCAATACAGGGTTGGGTTAGTGTCAATTTTGATATTTTAGGAAGGGTATAATTGTCATTCTATACTTTATTTTATTTTTTTTAAATGAAAATATGTGTTATTTTATTATGGGGGTGTCTATATGTACACCCCCTCAAGTGTAAAAAAGGGGTGTACATATAGCACTTTTCTTTGTGTAATTTATTAAAAGGGGGTGTACATATAGCATTGCCCTTTATTATTTACTCTCCACCAATGATTTTACCTGTCCCTTTTGCAGTTTCCCCAATTTACAAATTAATCCTCGTTGGTTCTTATTAGTTCTATAATTTGTTGGTAAAATACAATGATCTTGATTGAATACAAATTTTAATAGTCTATCGTTCCGGAAAAAAAAAATATATATATAAATTTTGATAGGTTTAGACGAGTTGATTTGTTATAATTTGTGATAAAAATAAATATTTTTACACGATGAAATATCATATTTTTACACGCTAATTTTCAATCGATCCATTCTCATTTTTTGCCAGATAAATATTTCAGTTTTATGATAAGATGCTCGTTTGTTTTCAACCATTTATCTTTTTCCTAAGTTGAATGAATTAGCATGCAATAGACTCGTTTTTGAGTAGTTTTTCTTATGAAAAATTGTATAGTGAGGGTATGAATAATTATTTTGATATAATGTCATATATATATATAAATTAATAAATAATAATTTATATATAACTATAACTATGTGATCAGTATAAGATGAATTACTAATCTTGTTTTAGTGAAATGAGAAGACAATAATTCTTGCACCTAAATCAATTTAGAAACCAAACATTTTTTATTTTAGAGACCCAATAAAACACATAATTTTAAGAAAAAAAAGATCGACCAAAAGAATGGAAAAGCGTGTCTTGAAAAGCGGAAATCTCTTCAAATTTTAGGCTGTTTGGATCTTCATGTAAAAGCTGTTACCCCTTCAGTCTTTTTTTTTTTAATATATATTTTCTTTAATAGTCCTTTAATTTATACATCTAGGGGGATTTAATCCTAAATATATATTTAACTAATACCCGTGTACTACATGTAATTGTTTAGAAAAATTATTTTATTTAAAATATGCGTGTTTATTAGGCTAATTTGATGTTTTCATGGAAAATTAATGAACCGATTGAGAGCTTCAAAAATAAATCAAGATTATATTAATCAATCAGTATAATTACCAAATGTTTCCATACAACATAAATATTTTATTAGTCAAACTATTATGGAACTACCAAGTTAGTTTTTCAATATTTTTGGAATGTTCGAACCCGTAATTATTTTTTAGAATAATATTATATTTTATCTCAACCAACCTACGAAACATGTTTTTTTTTTTTTT